TATCTAGACAATGCAAAGTTCCTGAGTGTTCGCTAATGAAAGTGGTGCTAGTGCCTTGTACCTCTGTGGAGTCGAGAAGCCCGTCCTACAAAGGTGGTCGGTCCCTTCTTGCACGGCTCTGTGCGTCAACTGATAATTTAAAGAAAGCCAATTGGGGGATTGTATCCTTCAACCCCCGCAGTTTTTCGATCGACGGGATTGGGCTTCAACTGCGTCCCGAAGCTGGAGTGCGGCCTCTCGCTACCACCTGCCCCGTATGTCTCAGTCGTATGCCAGTTGCGGCATTTCTATACCCAGGTGTAGTTTTCCAATGTTCTCTACTGGCCACTACTCTGCCTGCCAATGAAAATGCCAGTGATTCTCACAATCACAGCCGAAGTAGTAGGTATGATGCACGCCGGTGAAACAACAGTAGCTGAGACAGGTGAACATCTTGTGCTGCCCAAAGAAGTAACTCCTGGCAGATAATGCACTAAAACTAGTGGCGTGTACATGGCTCGAGGCTGACGGGCGCATACGTAACTATGGGGTCGCATGTTGACAGTCTTCATAACGGCAATCCTAGGGAAGCAACGAAAGCAAGCACCGGAGTGAGGTGTAAACGCTAGTGTAAGAGTCTGTTCTGAAGCAGTGAGCATGCGAAGAAGACACTGCGACGNGAGTGAGGTGTAAACGCTAGTGTAAGAGTCTGTTCTGAAGCAGTGAGCATGCGAAGAAGACACTGCGACGCGCGGCCTTTCTTGCTTGGAATCAGCAACTAGAGCGTGTTGCTGACAGGCCACTGCTTCAAATGGCAGCCAGACCGAGGGCCGCAATAGCAAAAACAAGCAGATTCGGGGCAACAACAGAGGCAGAACCCGTGAGGGATGCCTTGATCTTGTTCCACTGATCTTCCCTGCGCGAAATTCACCAACAGATGGACAACACACAACACTGCATCCATACCCGCCTCCGCCGCTCTGCACACATCCCTTGTTTTGTAGGAATTGGTAGCCAACTTACGAGAAGGGAGCTTCCGCATTTTTAAATGCATCAGGCGTGGTCATGCACAGTAGAGCGTAGCCCTTCTTTTCATCCCCACTGTTTCGAAGGTTGAATGCTGAGGGCTGTTGAGTTGTTGTTTGTGTGCAGGTGACGACTCGGCAGTCAGCACTTGCATTCTCTGAGGGGTTGAACATAGCAACAAAAGAGATGTTATGCTGTTTATCGTAGGGTTCATCTTCTCCAGTCTTCGGTGGAGGGACTGAGGTGAAGTTGCTGACGGCGTCCTTCCAGTGGTCCACTGCGGCGGCGCAGTCAGGCGTGTCCGACTCCAATGCCATAAAAGCGTACGTGCCACTTTTGAATTCAGTTGTACTTGCGCCCTTTACTTTCGCGCCTTCCGCATCTTTCTGAAGGGACAAACGAACGTATGAAGTAACAGGACACCGAGAAGTAGGAATATGAGGTCAAAGGTGGAAAGCCACGAATATGGCGACTTACTGCTATCAGGGCTTCACAAACAGGATCCCAGTGGGTGTTATCTCCTTCATCTGTTGCAGGCCACATTTCTTCTTTATTGGCGGCCGCTGTGAAGTGTGCGAGTCCAGCGTCTTCACGGGCACCGTTGATCTCGGCGAGGCACACAGCCGTGTTGCCTGCAGACAAACAGCCGATACATACAGTCCAAGCCCAGATGCGCTAATAATCGTGTTTTCACAAATGGACTGGGGTTGAAGATCTTGGAAGGACACACTCGATCACAAACACGGTCTCTAGCCACCAACGTACCTACTTTGGCCCTCAACGGGGACGAAACGCTGCCCAGTGAACAGCATTTTTCAGCTTACCAAGTGCTACAGTATATGTTGGAGTAGCTTGAATGTCTTCCTCCCCTTGGCCTTGGGCTCCTTGGGTGTTTGCTTGTGCTATGAGGAGCGCAGAAGCACAGGCGAGCGAAACTATTTTGAGAGGCGCCATGTTTGGAGAATTAACTCTGTTTGTGTAAACCAGAAAAAAAGGCAAGCATGGAGGGACTCCAAATAGAGACGCAACAATATGTTATGCACTGTGTCTGCAAGTGGTGGCGGCGAGGGAGCGGACTGGCCCATCCAGTCCCCTGTGAGGCTACTTTTGCCCGTCCTGCCGTCGGGATCACGACCTTGCGAGGATTAAAAGTCCTCTAATCAGATATTTTAAGAATTATTGCGTGCAAAATTCATCCTACACCAACGTGAAACCCCGGTATGCAGCCGGGAATGGCACTGCTCCGTTTGTGCTGGAGCACAGGATGCTGAGCGCGGAAGTTCATTCCGTTAAACACATGTTTTTCTACTAATACATCAACTCCTTATAGGTAATTTGTGTTTTCGATGTGTTTTCATTGTATGATGTGCCTTAAACAGTGGTTTTCAGCTCCTGTGTCTCTGGCCAGGAGAACGCTGCGGTGTCCCTCGGGGGAACCTCCCTGAGTCGCGCTGTGATGAGGCTTTCCTCTGCTTGCAGATGGAAAGGTAGGAAGTGTCTACGTGCTTGCTCATAACAAGTAAAACCTTAACCATCTGGGTGGTCTCATCATATTCTTCAACCTCTCCACTGTACTTCGCCCGCCGACAAAGTGCGAGCCGCCGAAGTTCGCTAAACTTCACGCCATCGTGCACAGCATGCATGCATGCAGAACAGTATACATGCGCAAACAGCTTGAGGAACACGGGAAAGCATACAGCGAAGCATGACATGTTGCATCGAACACATGAGGATCATAATGCTTATTGGTTCCACAAACCGTGCAGAAGCAACGGGTAGGACTCAGGCCAGTGTAACAAAAGCAGCTTATGAAGGCAAGCATGTGCTAACCCTAGAAATAGATTAAGGTCTGTACAGCCATTAAACGAGTGATGCGTGCTGCACAAGGCCGGCAGGCGCAATCAGAAGTACAGGGGTGTGCATTGAAAGCTTTCAAGCCACAGCCCTATTGATGCAGCGGAAAGGGCGCATCAGACTAAAGTGTAGGCGTGAGCCAAACTGTCTATTCTAAAAGAATGAAAATGCGAATAAGGCACTACGGCCCGCTGTCTTTCTTGCTTGGGATCAGCAACTGGCGAGTGTTAGTGTTGCTTCAAAGGGCAGCCAAGCCAAGGGCCGCAATAGCAAAGACAAGCAGACTCGGGGCAACAGCAGTGGCAGAACCGGTGAGAGATGCCTTGATCTTGTTCCACTGCTCTTCCCTGAGCGCAGTTCGCCATCAGAAGAACAACTCACAAGAGTGTATTCGCACCCAAGCACCCAAACATCCAGCTCTGTACGCNATTGGATGCTAACTTACGAGAAGGGAACTTTGCTATCTTCAAATGCATCAGGCGTGGTCATGCACAGCAGGGCGTAGCCTTTCTTTTCGTCCCCACCGTTCCGTGAGCTTGGCACTGCAGGAGCATTAGTTGTTGTTTGAGTGCAAGTGACGACTCGACAATCAACACTGGCATTCTCTGAAGGGTTGTACATGGCAATAAAAGAAACGTTATGCTGCTTCTCGTACAGTTCTTTTCCTTTAGTTTTTGATGGAGGAATCGCAGTGAAGTTGCTGGCGGCGTCCTTCCAGTGGCTCACTGCGGCAGCGCAGTCCGCCTCTGCTGTATCCAAGGCCATGAAGGCGTATGTGCCGCTTGGAAAGGTATCGCTTCCTGCTTCTTCCGCTGTTACGATTGGTTCCTCTTTCTGAGACGACAAAAACACATGCGAAGAAACAAGCTAGCATAAAGTGGGGAATACTGCGTTGAAACTGGAGAGCCAACGGTGAGGCTGCTTACTGCTATCAGGGCCTCACAGACGGGATACCAGGGGCTGGACTGTTCGTCGCTTTGTTCTGCGTTGGTTTTAGGCCACTTTTCGGTTCCAGCGGTAGCTGCTACGAATTCTGCTAGTTTAGCGGCTGCACGAGCAACGTTGATCTCGGCGAGGCATACAGCGTCATTGCCTGTAAGAAAACCGAGAGTAAAGACAAAAGGATTCCTAAAGTGCCAACAGCTTTGTTTTCAGAAGTTGCATTAAGGCTAGTTAAAGCCCGTGGGAGGTCTCATTTGACTCCAGACACTTCCGACCACCCAAAAGAAGTCATCGCTTCGGACGCGTATACTTTGGACATAAAGGGGGCTGAAACACTGCCCCGCGTGCAGTATTTGCCGACTTGCCGAGTGATACAGTATATGTTGAGGTTTCTTCAGTAGGTTCATCGTCATCTTGTGCCCTGGCTTCTTGGGTGTTTGCTCGGGCTATGAGGAGCGCAGAAGCACAGGCGAGCGAAAGAATTTTGAGTGGCGCCATGTCAGCAGAATTCTCGTTGATCGCGTCAACCAAAAAAATGAAAAGCTTGGATGAGCGTCGAAGGGAAGCGCATCAATATGTGTGCAGTGTGAGTGCAATTGCAGGCGGCGTGGGAACGAACTGCGACTGGCCCAGAGTGGCCTGTGCGTGGTCGCCCGGCGCAAGCCCCGCCGTTGGGCTTACGACCCTGCTGCCATTAAGCGTATTTCAACAAGGCATCTTAAGAAATATTGCGTAAACTTATAAGTCTGCCGAATGAAGCGTGAAACGGCTGCCTGCAACATGGGAAAGATCCTGCCACTGCTTCAAGGAACGAAGACACAGGATGATGAGTGCCAAGTTCGCCTCTCGTACAATTCAGGTTTTCCCGTTAGTATATCACCTCCACACAAATTTATGAGGCTTTTATATTATTTACCTCCATAATTTGAGTTGAAGCGATTCCTTTTCGTTGTTAGGCCTCCGACCCGGATCGTGGTATGCCGTCTCTTTGCTAGTGCCCTGGGGTTCCGCAGGCGATTTGGAAAAGAGTGAAAGCTTAGATAAATGGAACTAATCTATAATTTGCTACATGAAACAACTTATTTGGAGTCAATATGTGAAACGTGGCAGCGCTGGACAAGACCGAAAGAGCAAGTTTGCTTGGTATCGCCCGTCGACAACCAGCAGGATAAGCGAGAGCACGGGGTAGGCACAGTAGCCGGTGATGCTTCACATACGTCCAAAAGCAGGGAAAACTAAGACCTAGATTAATGATTAATAGAAAATTTGTCTCCGAAAATGCGTGAGAAAAGTAGTTCTTGGGTGCTGGCGGCCTTCGCTCCCTGAGTCCCATCGGAACCTCACGGTGGTAGTCCGCCGGTGCAGCCTACTACTGCCGCTGGTGGTCGGCTGCGTCTACCTGGCAGGTTGTGCCTGCCTGTGGGTGTTGCGCAACGGATCATTCCAATGGATATCTGCCGGCCGACGTAAATATGACCGTCAGTATGGGATATATAATACTGGCTAATAAACGGCTATGCTCCTCTAATTGAACTAGGAGAACTGGCATATTATGGTGCACCCACACTACGTCCTTCGCAGAGGGGGCAGTCACCCTGTAGCGATGCTGGTATGTTTGCAAATATAGGAATAGGAAGAGTTTGTGCGCCTGCATCTGGAAAGGTTAAAAGATCGAATAGGGTCTCTATCTTATCCTCGGCATTTCGCCGCCGCTCCGGGGGTCTTGCCGCCTAGAATATCCATGTGGCCTCTTTTCTTCCCCAGAAGTTACTTTTTGCGCCGGTACACATCCGCCTTCCCTGATTTCCTAGAGGTGCTTGTTTCTGCCGGCAGTTTTCCAACGCTGAAAGGATGCGTACAGCTCCATCCTGCCAACAGCTTGGCCGAGCGAACCCACTGCAGCAAATCCCTGGTACTCATGTCAGCAGAGTGAAACTATAAAGGAGAAGTAACTCAGTTCACAACTAGAGAAACTATGGAGCAGAAGTGGTTCGTTGCCTGTTCAGCAACTAACAAGCCCTAAGGCCGTTGAACATAAGCCGCAAGTTGGTGAAGGTGAGGCACATCGCCCAGCAGTCTGAACATATTGCACGCAAAGGCTTTTTCCTGTTTACAGCCTCTTTCCGCTTTTGGTTTGTTCCCGTCTAATACCCTTGGGCGCTAGGGGTGGGGAATTTATTTTAATTCTGTTTAACTTGAGTGTTACCCTGACCTGCACTCCTTGGCGAAAGACCAAGGGAAAACTGCAACTCGACCCGTGGGCTCTCACCTGTGGGCTGACTCACATATTTCCTCGCACCAA